TGCATGTTTAAGAGCTGACTGGAACTAGAGCTAACTAGAGCTAGAGCTGTTGAAAAAACCATTTTGTACGAGACTTCCTTCCAAAGTGCATGTTGAAGAGCTGACTAGAACTAGAGCTAACTAGATCTAGAGCTTTTGAAAGTCGGTCACGGAAGTTTTGCACCCTAAACTTCTTTTGATGAGTTCTTGATATTTCTTGCCTCATCTCGTTTCAGACTTCATTTGGTTTTGTTTTTTCACACGTTGCTTTGTGCTATTTGTGCTTTGCTCAGCATCTAGCAATCAGACAATGTGCTTTCCTCATCTCGGCTCAGTTCCCCCTTGCATGTTGCATCTCATGAGACTCTCATGTCTCGTTTGTTCGCAGTTCGGAGAGGGAAAAACTGTTGAAAATCCGGCCATTTTGCTGTCACCTGACACCTAGCTCGTCGCATTTGTTGTCTCACCCATTTGCTCAAGAAGCTTCACTTCCCTCCTTTGTTTGTTATTTTCACCAGGTATCGGGAAGATATAGATAGAGCTGGGCGTGCTTACTTCTAGGACTCTTTCTGTCACCCTACTCAAGTCTTCTCGTGAGCAAACTATAGATTCCCGGCTTTCGAGTGCCAGGTGTGCTTGCGCATTTCATTCATTTCATTGAATCGAGAGTTGTCGAGTGAAGTTCAGAAGTGTAAAGTTGGCCATCCCATGTCTTCTACACGGGTGTAAACTGTCAAAATCGTGGGCACAGGCTGATGTCATTTCCACAGCGTTGCAAAACTGCGCGGATGAGTTGCTGGAGGCGACCGAACCAAAATTAGAGTTGTGAGTTGTTCCATCTCGACATTTAGATTCACATGGAAACCTTCGGTTTTCTATGCGACCGGATTTGACGCTTTCATGAGTGCCGAGTACCCACAAGGCTGGCTCAAAGCCTGGCGCTGTTTTTTGCCCAGACAGCAAGCATTTGGGCACCTTCGGAGAGGCAGTGGGCTTTACCTTTTTTGGAGTGTTCTGACCTGTTCAATTGTTCAGTATGTTCCGGTCGCATGGATCACATAGACACTCAGCATCTCTCCTCCATTTTTCTTCGTCACTGAGGAGAAGGCACGCTGCTTGACAGAGCGGGTGTTGGCGCAGACTCTGAAGGTCTTCATGCCACAAGTGCGTAGGCTGGGAACTGCAGCATGATGCTGGACAAGAGAAAAATATGAGCAGATTATATATACAATTACTTGCTTGTTCCGTGCTTGTTTCAATCCATTTGAATGGGCTACGCGGCTATATGTTTTTAGATTTGAGAAGCAAACCTTGGAGCCAGAAAGAGGTTCTTTAGAAAGCTTCAGGCTGTTCCAAACTTTCTCGCTTCTCTTTCTTCTCGTCCCTTCCTCGAGGTGGTCGGGGCTTGGTCCCTGGGAGGTGGTCGCTGCCGGCGGTCTGGGCGGCGCTGTTGGCATCCTGCAGAGCTGCCATGAATTGCCCACCGAGGCGCCCAGTGAGGCACAGCTGCTCGTGCTTGAGACCATGACCGGCTGGGAGGAGACGACACTCGACGTTTTGTGGCACACAAAAAGCACATCGTTTTGTGGTCATGCTAGGTCTTTCGATGTTCTTTTTTGGTTTTTTGACTGCCGTGACTTGTCAGATGTTGAAAGTGGTCTGCAGGACATCCCGGCCAACATCAACGCAATTCTGCTGCCCGCAGGTCAAGCAGTTGACACCCTGTCCCATGTGGCAATTCGGGCCCGAAACCAGGAGGTCGGGGTGGGTCAGGTGGGTCACTTCTTTCTTCATCCCGAGGCTCTTTAACGGCGCCCCCATGCTAATTTTGCCATTTCGTCGCATTTGGTAATTTTGCCTGTTTACTCTTCATTTTCTTGACAGCCGACTCAGAAGCTTTGGCAGGTTCTCCTGGCAAGTTGCGATGAAGAGCAACAACTCCAAGAGCTGCGCAAGCTTCAGGGACAAAACCTTCGGCTGCAGGAACCTTCGTCTGCACAAATCGGTGAGAGATTCGGCAGTCAAGCGGCATCAAACCGGCAACGTTTGTTTCAACATTTCGCTCACGCATCACCGAAGACAAGAGGTTGAATCGTAAGGACTCAAACCGAAGAAACACAATTGGAAGGTTTGGCAGGACCCAAACCTTTTGTAGAAAACAAGTTTCATGGAGTTCCACAAGGTTGCGCAAAGGAAATGCACCATTGTTTGCTGAGGTCTCTGCCACTGGCGAAGTGACATGGACGGCTACGAGCGAGAAGTCTAAGCTGAAGGATAGCCACTTGGATCAGTTTTAAACTAGAAGTTTCAGGCTTCCGGCTAACCAGCATTGAGTTTTGGGGATCAACGGATATTTAATGTTGTTCGGAATGAAATGTGATGCACAAAGTCTTGTGGTTGCATCAGCTCCATTATCATGCAAATCGCAGAGCCGGAGCCAATGATGATGCAAAGCCAATGCACGGATTGATTGCTTGGGGGAAGAACAGACCACTGCCCCACGCAGACCTTTTGGGGTAGTGCGTTTGAAGGGCCTCGTGCAAAGGAGAGGCTCGTTGGCCACTAGTCCCTTCTTGGTGATTTCCTCGTGAAGATGGAGATGAAGTGGTGGTGACACAACAGTTGCAGGGGGAATTCGGCACTGGGTTGTGCAATTGATTTGTGTACACAGCAAAATTAGCGGTTTTGCCCATGTTTGCGGTAAGGCAAATATTGGTCCCAAGACCTGGCCGCTTCATATCGACCATTTGCAATTTTAGAGATTGCGTTTCTGTGCAGTTTCACGTCGACAGCATTTGATCCTTCTCCGCCTCAATAGCCCTGCAATTCATCTCAGCACTCGCGGCACGATCTCAGTCAAGGACCATCAATGTGTTTGTTCGATGTTCATTTCTACAATCCCGTCGCTCAAGACTTCATGCGTCACATGTGTTTGCTCATTCAAGACGGATTGAACACCACATTCTCATTGATTTCTTGCACCGGCTGTCATGTCATTTGTAAACCATGGTAAACCCTTCTTAGCCAATTGGACGTTGAGCATAAGAAAGAGTTTGTGTTCTAATATAGTTGTTCTTTAAGGTTTTGTGGTCAATGCCCCCTGAACCTCCCAAAGATTGAGGCAGCGCGGCAGCCTTTCTCGCAGATGCCCGGCAGTGTTTAGGGCTTTTGGTAACAAAGTTGGACGAATGCAGGACGGAAAGCAATTGCTGCAAGCGGCTTGCTGCAAGTCTTTGTGACGCAAAGCAAACCATGCAGCCACTCTGAGGAAACCATGCAGCCTCCGCCGCCGCCGCCAAGTGCTGTTTTGAAGGCCAGCGACTTCACCAAGAACCCGAAGTCCATCGGAGGTGCCACCGAGTGCGGTGAAACTGAACGCGAAGTTGAAGGCCACAACCATGTTTGGATCATCTTTGTTTCGCTTTTAGCACTTTCGCTCTTTTAACGTGTGGAGGGAAAAGCCTACACCTTGCAGAGTTGATGGCTGACGGCACGTGAGCCCGGGGAGCGACTTCATCGACTTGGATATACGGTGTTCATCGGTTATGGACTTGTTTTCAATTTGCATTTTGAATTTGACAGTTTCAAACGATCAGATCTTCAATCGTGCGTCAATTCGAATTCAGACGACTACCAATCAAAACCGATTTCTGAATTTCTAGGCCGTTTTAGGCAGGTTCCATGAGAAATGGCACAGATGTTAACGAACACAGGGCTAGGTAGAGCGTAAGGGAGCCCATTTGACACCATTAGTTGGAGTGCCAAAAAGGCGGCATGTAGCACATGGCTTTAGCACGATGGTTTGGTAGAAAGGCTTATTTTCTCTTGTTTGTAAGCTAATAGCGATGGCCTCCACGGTACTTTAGCGATGGATGCGATGGCCTCCAACCTACCGATAATTGTTTCTTTGTAGAACGACAGACTTTTCCCGAACGTTGCATACTACATGCTCTCTTCTTGTGCAGGTACCGCGTCCCTACGAGTGCAACTATTCCTTATGGCCACTTGGATGTTGACAAACTGTTCATTCGATGCGTCAAAATTGTCGCTCATTTTTTTTTACGTTGCGTTTCACCCTGGTGGAGGCATCGTTCCGTTTGGACTAGCGGTGTGCCCCGAGAGATTTGGCTAGAAATTCCATGGATCCGTTTGAGGATATTCGTTGGAAGCCCGCTCTCAGTGATTCCTCCCAGAACCTCACCTGAAGCACCTGACATTTCTCCGTTGTCTTGACCCCAGGAATCTTTGAGCAGGCTCTCAAGGACAAGGCGCTTTGTCCAAATCATTCACAAGTTGAAAAGTCCGAACGTGGAAGGTTTGGTGTCAGTTCGCGTTTCAAGGCCAACGAGGGCTTAGAGGAAGAGCTCCAGGAGAAAGCGAAAAAGAAAACGAAACGAGACACAGAAGCGAAACCACGAAGCCGTGAGCAAATCTTGTGTCGCGTAGAGTCTGGACAGAACAGCCCCGGCAAGTCTCACGTATAACGTAAAATCCTTTAGGCGCTCCGTTTCTTTTCGACCTGTGAGAAGCTCGTTTCTTGTGAAGGGACCTGCTTGAGATACAATTCTTCACAAGCTGGCTTCATTCTCAAAGATCTCCCGTCAGGAAGTTCTGGCTGAAGGGGACATGGCAGAAGCACGGAAGTTCTTGGAGGAAGAATTAGCTACTCAGAAGAAGCTGGTCGTGTTCAATTCTTCACTCTTGTCTTGTTTATTCTACAGTTCCGTGCTTTTACTGGATCCATTATCCGACAGCATCCAAGCATGCAGCATACGTGTGGTAAGTATGTAACAGTAGATCCCGCACAAAGCAGAGGGAATCTAAAACATGTTCGCCGTGGTGAGGTGCACTGTGAGATTTGCGATGACAGTTGTCGATGTTTGTGAAGATTCTTCTTTGATTCTTCTGACACTTTCGGTTTTCGCTTCGCGTCGTTACCAGATCGCTCAAACCGTCTAATATCGTGAAAGGACTGGCCACGACAAGCCAGCCTGTACATGGCCCCCATTCCCGTCTATCGCTAGAGTCTGTTCAAAAGACACCAATCCGCCCGCACAGAAGGTGCTGAAGGATTAAACTCTGACCGTGCGGTCATTGCTTTATAGCTTTAGCTGGGGTTTGGGAGCAAAAATGCATATTCTGAGGTGTGTTTCGGAGAGGAGTGTGAGTGGGAGAAAACATGGAAAAACTGATGGTTTAATATATGTATATATACACACCAGGATGTCTGACTGTATTTATCATTGTCGTTTCATTTGCATCACCACATCCATGAAAGACAAACAAACAACTCCTCTCAACAGTCTTTGTCTTGATATAACTCTCATGACTGCGTCATATGCATCAGCTGGTTGCAATTTTTTATTATGGTAGTATACGCATCCTGGCTGCAAATGCGCAATTTATTGTACAGTACAAAATGCTGGCAAATCACCATGATTTGGGCCACCTGAAAAATGTACAATTACTCTACTTCGAGTGATCCCCACCATGACATTTCAAAACAGCCACGTTGACATCACCCTCGTTGTGTATTTCAGCCCATAGCACAAGTCCTTCAGCGCCAAGTCTTACTGTTTTGTCCGAAGCGAATGCTTTCATCAGGAGACCTGTGCCCAACAGGTCATTGAGATCATTGGGCGGCCCAAAACTGGAAAACTTCCGGGGCCCGAGCAGTGGTGGTAGTAGTAGTAGTAGTGGTGGTGGTAGTAGTAGTAGTAGTGGTAGTGGTAGTGGTAGTGGTAGTAGTAGTGGTAGTAGTAGTAGTAGTGCGGTGGTAGTAGCACTAGTAGTGCGCAGTTCGGGGCCCGAACCTTGCAAACCTCCGGGGCCCTAGTAGCAGTAGTGGTAGTAGTAGTAGTGGTAGTAGTGGTAGCAGTCGTAGTAGTAGTAGTAGTAGTAGGAGTAGTAGAACTAGAAGTCGAAGTAGAAGTAGAAGTAGTAGTTGTACTAGTAGTAGTATAGTAGTAGTAGTAGTAGTCGTAGTAGTAGTCGTAGTAGTAGTAGTAGTGGTAGTGGTAGTAGTAGTAGTAGTAGTAGTGGTAGTGGTAGTAGTGGTAGTGGTAGTAGTAGTAGTAGTAGTGGTAGTAGTGGTAGTAGTGGTACTAGTGGTAGTAGTGGTAGTCGTAGTGGCGGTGGTGGTAGTAGTAGTGGTGGTAGTAGTAGAAGTAGTAGTGGTAGTGGTGGTGGTGGTAGTGGTAGTGGTAGTGGTAGTGGTAGTGTGGTTGTGTTTGTGATTGTGTTTGTGGTTGTGTGTTTGTGGTTGCGTTTGTGATTGTGTTTGTGGTTGTGCTTGTGGTTGCGTCTTTGTCGCTGTGGTTTTGGTTGTGTTTGTGGTTGTGTGTTTGTGGTTGCGTTTGTGATTGTGTTTGTGGTTGTGCTTGTGGTTGCGTCTTTGTCGTTGTGGTTTTGGTTGTGTTTGTGGTTGCGCGCTTGTCATTGCGTGTTTGTGGTTGTGGCTGTGGTTGTGTGTTTGTGGTTGCGTGTGTTTGTGGTTGTGTGCTTGTGGTTGTGTGTTTGTTGTTGTGTGGTTGTGTGTTTGGGGTTGCGTGTTTGTGGTTGTGTTTGTGGTGGTATGATTGTGGTTGTGGTTGTGTGCTGTGGTTGAGGTCCGGCAGGGAATACTGGGCGTGGATGGTCGCTGTTGGGGTCCGGCGGAGGAGGAGGAGGACGAGGAGGCGGAGGAGATGGGGCTGACGTAAAATCTAACAATCCTCACCTGACAGGTGGGGAGTTTCAAGGGGGTCGAAAATATATCAAACAATGCTTACAAACAATTTGTAAGAGGGTCCAACAATAAAATGATGATTTTAGAGGGAACTAACTAAAGAATCTGTAAGTTGGTCCAAAATTAGAGTGGTTATATATAGAATGTTATAGACACTTCTTTACATGTTATTCATCCACTTCATGCTGCGTTCATCTCTCAGATTTTTGTCGGTCATGCGCATTGTATAGTCTATTGTATACATTCATTCTATTGCGCGACCCTCTTGAAATTGTACCTTTTTTCCAGGTGTCCAAATTTCATTCATGTGCAAGCATTGTTGTATATGGTACAATTTGGACTCTCTGAAAGATGTACAATTTCAAGGGGACACAAAATGCATCCAACGATGCTTGCAAGTTGCAAGTAAGACATAACCAAACACAAATTATGGCGTCCAAAAATAGAGTGATTATAGACAACGTTTATTTTCCTCATCCACTTCACTTCATGCTGCGCTCATCTTTAACAATACACACGGTATAGTTTATTGATCATAATCATTCCATTCTTGACTCCCTTGACAACGTACAATTTCAAGGTGCCGAAAAATAGATCCAACAATGCTTGCAAAATGCAAGTAAAACATAGCTAAACATTTCTATTGGGGATCCAAAAATAGAGTGATTATAGATATAATATATATATATATATTGAAAGGCTTACGCCTAACAGCCGGGCGCCGGCCCCCTTGGGTCTGCGGGCCGTATGTCACGCCTATGTTGGCCTTGGTGGGGCCTACATTGAGCAAAGTTAAGCTATCTGGCGCGCATCTTCGCCCTAGGTTGGGCCAAGTTGCGCCCATGTGGTCTATGTTGGGCACATCTTGGGCCAATGTCGAGCCTATGTTGGGCCTATGTTGGGCCTAAGTTGGCGTATGTGCAACCGATGTTGTCCTATGCTGGCCCTATGTTGAGCTAGCTATCTTGGGCAGATGTTGGGGATATGTTGGCTATCTTAAGCCCATGTTGGGGATATGTTCGACGATTTCTGTTCAAGACATGCTCCGAGACATTTTTTGGCGGATTTTTCCTTCCCGTAAAGCAAAAACCCAGCAAAAACCGACGTTTTTTGACATCGCCAAGATGAAATTCTCGGCCGCCCACGGGCCCAAAACCCTGTAAAACGCAGTGTTTTTTATACCTCACACACACGAAACCCTGTAAATTACGTTGATATCAGTGACCCGGTCGTCCCCCCGTTTTGGTCCCAAGGGTCGGTCGGCGGCAGCCGGCGCGCCCGTCTATAACCTTCGGTTACCACCGAAGGCCCTCCGGGCAGGGCGCGGGCTTCGTGGCCGGCGCCCGGATTATGAGGCTTACGCCTGACAGCCGGGCGCCGGCCTATTTGGGTTTGGGTATGTGCAGGGCTGGGTCCTCTCTCTCTCTCTCTCTCTTTTTGAGACTTGGTGGGGCCTATATTGAGCCAAGTTAAGCTATCTGGTGCGCATCTTGGCCCTAGGTTGGGCCAAGTTCATCTTGGGCCCAAGTTGAGCCTATGTTGGGCCTAGGTCGGCCTATGTTAGGCCTATGTTGGCTTAGGTTGGGCCTATGTTGGCGTATGTTGGCCCCATGTTGGCATATGTTGGCCCTATGTTGAGCCATCTTGGAGGCTATGTTGGGCATATGTTGGCTATCTTGGGCCTATGTTGGGGAAATGTTAGGCAACTTCTGTGCCCAACACCCACATCATGCGCAATCATGCTGGTAGATAAAATACAAATAACATAAAAATCCGTCAAAAATCTGTCGACACGCTTCGGGCGGGGGTATCCCCGCGGTCCAACAAAAGGGTCGGCGGCAGGGGCGGCGAGCGTATATAACCTTCGGTTACCAACCGAAGGCCTCCGGCAAGGACACGGGCCCGTGGCCGGCGCCCGGATTTACCAGGCTACCACCTGCAGCCGCCGACCCCCCAAGGGAAAAGCTAGTGGCAGGGCCTTAGACCTTACCTCTAGCCTTAGCTTTAGCCTGAGACCTTAGCCCTAGCCTTTAGCTTTAGCCTTAAGCCTTACCTCCCTTACCTCTCCGGACCCTTGTTGCAGTGACGAAAGCCGGCGCGATTGCGACGTGGATTGTCCAAGATTTTGCCATCCCAATTGATTTACATCTTGTTTTTTTCGTAGAAGGGAGTTGTAGGATGTGAAAGGTTGTTTTGGGTTCCCAGGTTTGGTTAGAAAATTGCTAACCTATTTTTTTCCATTGTTGTACTCATGCCTTTCATGCGCTGGACGAGGTCCGGCCAGTGCCCGTGGTAACGTGAAAGGCTCTGGTAAGATTTTCGCATGCCTGTCAGGCGCCCGTGTCCGCGCCATGTGGCGTGTTGGTTCTAGGACGGAGCAGTGCAAACGGAAGCTTGGGCAGGTGGTGGCGAGGTTCTCGCGCCAGCGAGGGAAGAGACCGTAGCCATGTACACGAGGGCAGCACGCGCGCGTGGCGGAATGTCTGCAGTGCGGTAGGCCGGGGGGGGGGGGCGGAAGGGTGTGGAAGTGGGTGGTTCCACGGTAGGAGGAAGGACGTTGCTCTGGATGTGGGGAGGGTAGGGTTTGCTGGAGCACCCCTTGAGCAAAATGCAGGAGCCGAGAACAGCCCCCGTCACCCGAGGCAGCCGGTGTCTTTGTTATGCGTTTCCTGGGGGAGAAGGGCGCTGCCCATGGTGTTCGCTAAGTCGTGTCAGCCAACGAGGGCGTTGCCCATGTATGTCCCCCTGCGCAGGCCATGGAAAACTGCTCGGTGTAGTTGTCGTGGGCGGAAGACGCCGGCGCGCAGTGTTTTGGCAGGCTGGCGGAAGCCGACGGCTGCTGGAGCTGGACGAGGCGCGCAAGGGATGTGTAGTGGAGTATGGAGTGAAGCTAGGGGATGCGAGCGCCGGGTGCAAGGATCGGCTTTAGCGTGGG